AGAGATGATGAGTTGTTAGACTCATTTTGAAAAATTTTCCTTTCTGAGTTCAGTTGGGGTCGAAAATGCCATCCCTTTGTTTTCACTGAGTAGAGACTAGCAAACACCAGCCATTGTAACCTGTCAGCCTTGGTAACCCAACCCATTTTTCTCAAAATCGGACTGGCATTGAAGCATGGGTTTCACTTATTAGGTGTACTTTATATTTTCGTCTTCCCGAAGACGTGACTCGTGCGCAGATAATTAATGAACAATTATCTTTCTACTTGATGACAAGATAAATAAAGATGCATCATTGAAGTAAGCGTAAGCTCATTAAGATCGTCAATGAAGTAACAAACTGAACTAAGGGAATAAACTGATTAAAGTTGTACTAACCACTTTTCCCTTCTCAGGATTAGTTAACGCATTAACTGTAGAAACCGTCAGCGATGACGTCAAACCTGATACAAATAAAGCGCTGATGATGCCATCCATAAGGATGCAGACAATACTTAGAAGTCTTCCAGGCACTGATATTGCATGGCGATCACCATACCTGTATTATTGAAAGAATTTAACGCACTTTTAATGAAGAATAAAAGAGTGATTAGATCAGTTAATAGGTGAATAGCGGAATGACTGGGCTAATCAACGGACGGATCTGATTGCCATAAGCTTTAGCGATCGTGCGCTTCTAGTATTAATCCAAACCTCTTACAACCATTTAATACTATTTTGAAAGTCTTAGTTATGCCTTGAGTTCCTTAAGTTACAAATTATTGACGAGGAAAATCTAACTCTATAGTTATTTTGTCTATACCATTCATCCAACATAAGATAAAAAAAAAAGAAAAAAATAACCAATTGCATAAGACGTTGAAATATTTATAAGCGTATAGGTAAAAAAAAACTTACCATCTTTCTTATTCTTTAGGTAATTTTGGTGTTTTGAGCCCAGAAAATAGCGTTCATTATACCCCCTTCCTGTTTGGATTAGATGCGACTAGCATTGTTTCTAAGACACCAATATCGCTATTGACGCATTCCTTAACACTATAAACATCTCAAATCATAGTTTAGGAGTCCTTCTTTTGACAATAGTGTTGGTTTGCATGAGTATGGTGAGAACTGTTTGGGGCATTTTTGTACCCGTTTGATTTTAGGCTACTTGACAGAGAGTGCTCCCATGGGAATCTAAACTGAGAGAACTTATCCCCAAGACCCATGATATTTTTTTTCAGTCTATTTTCAATTTAGATAAGTTTATATTCGC